ATCGGATGGCGCTCTCTCGTGGTTGATGGTGTGTTAGTTCTTTCATTCCATTTATCTTTGTAAATAGTTACAACAGCGTTATTAGTGCTGTGGGAGGAGCTTTTTTGTGTCTGAAATAAACAAAGATGTCATCATTGTTTATTTTAGGAATTATAAACAATAATAATCACGTAATGAAATCGAAACTTGGATTTGAATAATGCATAGTGACAGAAGCGTTCACCTTCATTGTAAGAAAAAGAAAAAGAAAATAAAATAAGAAAAATAGCTACATAAAAAGTAAAGGAACAAAAAATCATTTAAAAAAAAGAAGATACAAATGTGTGTACAAGGAATGTGTTACTGGCTTAGTTTATGTAGGTGCTGCTGTCTTGTATTAACAGTTTTTTTAAATATTGTGCTAAAGGAATTGACATTTTCTCGTCACTTAGTAATGATATGAATTTATTTTCATTACTAAATTTGTCAAAATTTGGTATACATTTATTAGCTACAATGTAAAGTTTTAATCTTATTTCATTGTAATGAGGACAATTTATGACAAAATGTTGTTCATCTTTAACATGGTCATTGTCGCACATATTGTAGACTCTCTGTCTTTTAAAATCCAATCCTGTATGCCGGCCTGTTTCAATTTAGTAAGTGTTATTGTCAAGTGTTACAACAAATTGTTGTATAATATAGAGCTACGTCACAAGACGTTCCACGTTGCTAAGACGCACACCACTGTAAATGCATTTCTATGGGTTCTGTGCGCGCTGCTTTGGAACGTCGGTCGAGCCGGTGAAAATTCGAGAAAACAACACAAAATCAAATCAACTTTGAAGTAATCCTGAACAACCAAATTTATATAAGTTACACACATAGAGCTAATCTTATTACACTGTTCAGAGGAGTCTCAACAATCATCCCAAAGTACCGTTTTCTGCGAGTTTTGGGCCTTTGTTTTCACCGCCGCGGGTTGCCAGGCGGTGAAACTGCCCGGATGTCCGCCCCCGAAGATATGTGTATAAGATATGCTCTCAATATATCTCTCAGAACCGCATAATCCCAATGAAAAGCTCGCAGAGGTAGGCTCAGATAACATTATTATTTATTTAAAAAAATACTTTGCCGGCATTTTCGTTTTAAAATGTAAGAAGCAAAATCGGCAATTTCAGGGTTCAGCATAACGCTGGATTGTGATAGTCCCCGGATGTTACGAGTTGGCAAAAAAGTGAGAAGTTAAATAAAATACTTACCGCTGAGGGAGCTATTCACTGCATGTGCACAACCTGACGACAAGAGCAACTTTTATTTGAGGAAGTTCGAGTTGAATTGAAGATTATATGTTCAACATACTTTTATAATTATAGGTTCAAGCCACCAGGATATCGACAATTATGTGAATTCCACTATGCAGTATGGAATGCACACATTATCCACCACTATC